ATCATATAAATTATAAATCACTATAAATCACATGACTTTAGCACAGCTAAAGTAAGAAAGTGTACATTTAGCTGAGGACAGTATTTGGGAAGACAGAAGCTACAATACAAAAGATTTACTGAACTCCCTGTGTGATGACAGTTCTTCATTTAGCCTTTACAGAATTTCAAAGGAGATACACACTTTACTATCACAGTTTACAGAGAAATGATCCAGTTTCAAATCCTCAATAGCAATAGTTCATTTAAAAACCCTTTGCTCTGTAACCCAGGTAAACATCTCTGTGCTGTTGCTATACATAACCTCTTTCCCACTACCATTACCCATTACCATGTTTGGCCTAGAGCAAGGTGGTCATTTCTCTTATGTTGCGAATTGCCCTCTTTTGTTGAAAGCACAGGTCTGTACCAGAATCATTGCTGGATGTGTGTGGATGTATGCATATGAAGGAGAGGGAATGAAGTGACTCCTCAGGAGTCTTTGAATCAGAGACACCAATGTTGGTTGTGTTAGTTACCAAAAAGGAGTTTCCACACTACTGTGATCATTCTTTCAATGCCCCATTGCCGTTTTTTTCTTTTCCCAAACACCAAATCTGATATTCACTTGGTTTCCTCTTCCTCTGCACATTCATCAATATCATTTCCTTAAGGCATTGCATTTATGTGTATCAGCCCTGTTTCCAAAGCATGCTTGTTGACCATTTGGATAGGCCTTTTAAGAACTCATAGAACACAGAATTATAACGGTATTTGGATATCATCAAGTCCATTCGCACATTTTAATTGTGCAGAAACTGATTTCCAGACAGGTAATATAGCCAGTCAGACAAAACTGGGGCTGGAGGCAATGTTCTGACTAATACTCTTCTTGTTACACAATGTCACATTGTACTTAATTGCATGGTTGGCCAAAAAAGAGTAAGTGTACATCACTTATTTGGGCTAAATATATTAATTATTTCAAGCCATTACAATGCTCTGTTTCTTAATACAAGGTGAAAACAAAATTGGCAGCACAGGGTAGTAGAAAGACAGTAAAAGCATAGCTAGATCTAAATTCGATTTGGCTAATTTACTGTGTTACCTTGGGCAAGTCGCTCAACTTTTCTGAAGTTGTAACTACCTGAAAGTACTAAGAATTAAATGCAGTGGCATATATAAACCATCTAATGTAGAGTAAGGGCTCAGTATATACAGGTTCCCATTAATTCTAACCTGCCACAAAAGAGCAATGCCACTCTAGCAAATTCCTTTAGCTCTTTGGGTCTCAATTTCCTCCACTGTAAAATGAGAAGATGAAAGAAACCAAATGAATTCCAAAGTCCCTTTCAGCTCATCAAGAAATTATTCCCAAAGATTCCTTCACCTTAATTTAAATTCAACACTTACGTACCTTATATCCATCCTAGGCACTTAACAGTTCCAACCACCCCCAGGAAGGTACAGATGATTTCAGCAGAATGTGATCCAACTCTATAGTACTTTAAGTTCCACACAGAAAAGTTACTATGTCCAACCAAAGAACTTAACTTGAAGGAAAACTCTACAAGGACATCACAAACCTGATGTAAAAAATAAAAATAACTTAGCATTTACCTTAAACTATTGTATTGCCCTTTTTTTGCTAGGATGTAAGGTGAGAACTACTACGTGATTCTATAGGTCTCTAACAAAAGACTCAAGAGACATTTAATTAGAGCAACTAATGCTATCTTTTGAAAGAAATGAGCAATAAACTCTTCCTATGTGAGTCTTATGCTAGACTTTAAAATTTAAGATACTTGTGCAGCAGGGGATAAAACTTATTCTGAGAGGTATTTTATAGTAATAAACGTTAAAATAAGGCACTTGCCCATGTTCTCACATTACTTTTGAATTCCATGTTTTGGATTTTCATACTTTAAAAATAAAATATTCTATATTTAAATGCTTGAATCTTGCAAGCAAGGCCTGGAGAAATATTAACTGACCCTAAATGAAAATTTTAACTGCAAATTTTTCCTCCTTTTCTCTTCCATAAGGAAATCATTAGCAATGGGTTTTTCATTACAGATAAGGTTTTTTGGAAATAACACTCTAGGGGTTCAAAATATATTTAAAATCATGATTAGAGCTCCTTATTATGATGTCTGAAAAATTCATTTGAAGTTCACTGTTACCATGCCACATAATATTATTCACCTATATTGTAGAATTTTAGAGTGCACATCTTAGATGATAAAATATCAATAACAAAAAGATCTCTGCCTTTTATGAGTATGAATAGACAGAGATGGCCCATTTAAATATTTTAAATGTGTGAAATAAGTAATATAATCCTTTTTAAAAATCAACAACTGTGTTCTATGGCTAATTTTTTTTCCTAAAAGCTGATAAAGAGTAAACTATGTCCCATAAAAGGTTCAGAGAGTCACAGAAGTATGATTTAGGTATATACATGTCAAGCATCATGTGAACCAGAGGCAGAAGGCCTGTATCCTATTTCTGTGGTTAAGATCTTGATATACACTACACACTTGATATGTGACTTTTCTGACAAGTCACTTCACCTTTATAGTTCTGTTTCTTAACTGTAAGACAACAGGAGGAACCATCTGATCTTTCCAAGATTTCTTCCAGTTCCTATAATTAACATCTGTGCAACTCCTCAGGGGCACAGGACATGGGGCAGAAGCACTCACAGGAGAGTATTTATTCTGTTCTTCATGTATGCTGCCAGGACAAGCCAGCTTCTGTAGAGAGCCAGATACTAAACAGCCTGTCTTCATGCCTTTGCTAAAGAACACCACTGATGACTACGGAAGCACCTAAAGAGACTCAGTCAGAGGATAGGAATGTAGTCCAAAGAATAGGTAGACCCCTTGTGTCCTCATCTTCGCTGGCAGAAGGCATTAAGTTCATTTAGGTGACCTTTGCTTTCTTAACCTCAAGAGAAATAATTCTGAAAATGAATGGTTCTTATCCCCAGTCCCACATCTGACCCTTGAAAACACATAGATTTTTATGTATCAGCTACCTGATATGCAGCATTCCTAGGACACCTCCGTAAGACAGAGTTTGACAATAGTGGTTAAAAGTATAGAATGGTCTCAAGTCCTGGCTTTACTATTTAATTGCTGTGTGGGAAAAAAGGTAAAGCCTCTGTGCTTCAGGCTCCTTTTCTATAAAACAGGGAAACTAATAAAACCTAACTCATAGAGCTGTTGTGAGGATTAATCAAAATAATGCATACAAAGAAGTTAGCACAGAGCCTGACACAAAGTGAATGTTAGATCAAGAGAGATCCAACTATGCTGGGTCCTGGGTCTCCCTGAAAAAGTTTATCTGTAGGCCACAATTTCCTGGCAGTGAAGAGCTGCTGCTTATCTTTCCTCTTCTGAGCAAACAATATGGCAAAGACTCAGAGCTGGGTTCAGCTCTTACTAATAGGGTCCTGTAGAAATCAGGAGGAAATGAGAACCCTGAAAGAAGGAAAGAGTTGCTCTGGTTTAAGACAAGATCTTTAAAAGATATAGAAATGCACACAAACATTTAATATGGTCATACAGAATTGGAGAAGGGGTTGTTCTTCATTTATGCTCTCCCAAGTGTTGCCAGCATTAGAAGCTATGGAATTTTGTAACTGGATGGCTCCCTAGAGACCATGAACTCTCTCAATAGATAAGCAGCTGAGGCCCAGAGAGCTTATACAATTTACTCAAGGTCATTCAGCAGTAAATGACAGTGCCCAGACAAACAAGCTTCCTGACTCCCCTCATTTGCTCGCCCAATATTCGGCCTGGTATCTTTCACCAGGTCAGTATCCTACCCTTGTGTCAAACAGAGCATTTAAGACATACACACACACAGGATTTTTTTGGCCCAGGTTCCCAAAAAGTTGCAGAAACAACCCACTAAGACCTTCTTTCCAGAGCCTCCCATCCCAGGATCCTTCCATCCTGGGAAATGGGGAGGATCCCAGGCAATCTGTGACTCTCCCTGAGGCCCTTTTTGGAGTTTCTGCTCTCCTTTTGTTCCTTCCTCACATCTATGCTTAAGGATACTTCTAGAAGTTCCTCAGCTCAAACGCCAGGGACTTCCCAGGGCAGAAGTCACCACCTACTAATCTGCAAGTCTTCATCTTCCCACAAATGCTGTACTTTGAGACAGGAAATAAAGAACTGTTACTGAATTTCCTCCAAGCTCCCTTGGAGGAAATTCAGTCAAAACGAATCCCTCCTTTCCTCCCTAAAGTAATTCAACCAGGTTCATTTATAGAGTGTGTACATGAAGTGCTGGAGAACCCTCAGGTATGCTTAACACAGAGAACAGGAGAAAGAGGGACTAAGGCAGGGGAGATAGATTGGAGGGAGGAAGGAGATGGGTAGAAGGCGCACACTGACCACACTGTGAAGCCTGGATCCTGGAGACAGCTGTGCTGCTGATACTGACTCACCACAGAGCAGACCAACCCCCAGGGGATTGAACTGTCTTAATTTCGTGCTCTGGTAACTGACTAACAACAGACTGGTGTCCCAAACTGCACACGTAGGAAGCCAGCAGAGGCTACATGTAAGTGGCAGAAACAAGGAACTCGTTGGTTTCTGCCGCCTTTTCTGTCTCATCAGATGCTGGCCACTCTTCGCTTGGAGGGCACACCCCGAGCTCTGCAGGTTCCCACACAAATCCTGGAACTGGACATACTGCTCTCCTTAGGACCAATGAGCACAGGGCATCAGAGGGTTCTCAGCTCTTTCAAGTGCTTTCCTGTCCCTTGCCCCTTGCACGGAAAACTGATCCCAGAAAAGCTTTGGCTGAATGCCTAAAGCTAACAAACGTGGGGTTCCTCTTGTCCGTAAGCACATGTGTCCGCGTGGGGGGAGGGGGTCACTCAGCCTGGGTGCCTGCTGTGAAGGTGAGAGGCGTTAAGTGTCACCGCCAAGTGTTTCTCCTCTACTTGCGCACCCACCCGTGAAACCGGAAGGAAGGCTTGGCATTTGACTTTTTTCCCCTACCTACCTGAATTCCGGGACCAGGTTAGGCTGCAACCCGTAGAAAGCAGCGGAGAGAGTGACCAGCCAGCCGGGCTTGTAACTCCCATTCTCGCACTCCAGATAAGGCGGGGACCACTTGACATGGCTCTTGTCTCCGCCAAGCCCGTCCCTGCGCCGCCAGCTATGACCCAGGCCCCGGGGCCCCTGACTGGAGCCGCGGCGGTGGAAGTGAGTCCTCCACTTGCGCCGGAGGCCGTGGAACCACTCGGTCTCCAGCGTGGCGTTGGCCAGGTGGTGCGCGGAGGACAGGTCCTGGAGCAGGATGCGACTCTCCTCGCGCGTGGCCTGAAGGAAGACCTGCGGGGCCGGCGCGGACAGCGACTCGGTGCTGAAGGTGATGGCCGCCCGCGAGATGCTGGGCTCGCCCTCCAAGACGCTCCGCATCAGTGCCTGGTACCACTCCAGGTCGTCCTGCAAGTTCTGTTCTCGCGACTTATTGCTCTGCAGCATCATGTTGAGGAAGTTGGTGGCGTGTGTCAGCGTGTCCAGAGCCCCGTGCAAGGAGGGATGGGAGCTGGCTAGGCCTGGCGACTTTCCCGGCAGGCCAGCCAACTCATAGCGCCTGGAGCAGTTGGCTCCCTTCAGCTGGTGGGAGTCCCCGGTGTAGAGGTAAGAGGCCACGTCCATGGGCACCTCCTCGGCGAGTTTCTGCGCCAAGATGGTGCCATCGGTGGAGCGGCTCCAGGGAGCAGAGGGGTCCGAAGCAGAGGCTCTAGCCAGCTGCTGGGCGTGCTGTTTCGCTCTCACGGCCCTCTCTCGAGGGGAATCCGACCGCCCGGGCGAGTCTCGGCTGGCGCCAGCAGCTCCCAAACCCGGATGAGCGAGCAGGAGGCAGAAAAGTAAGGGATAAGCCATGGTTCCCATCTGTCTCGCAGCGAAGAGAGGAGGTAACGTGGAGAAGTCACTTTTTAAATTTTGGTCATCAGTTTACACCAGTCAGACTTGTACTAAGAGTCTTCCCCCTTCTTCACCAGATGACAGCCAGTCCAAAAGGACTTGAAAATAACAATGTTACGAAACTGGCCCCGCTGGCTAAACCTCCGTCACAGGAAATAAAATCACCTGTGACCACGCTGTCTGCACCGGCTCCAGGATGGCTCAGCTCAGGATTACGCACCTCACAGCCTTGAGCCGAACAGGTTACATCCCCTCGCGCTCCCGGCAGCTACAGTTGGCCTGCTTACGTCTTTCTGCTCAGCCTCTCCGCAGCCGCTCTCACTGAGGTGTGCTCGAGAGCTGCTGCCGCCGCCTTGGCCGCCAGAAACGCTGCTCCATCCTCTCAGCGGCGGCAGGTCGTTGCCGCCTCCCAGCCGGGACTCCTCCTGCTCGGCTTGGCCACCAGGCAAGGAGCGCGCGCACGGACAGCTCCGCGGGCGCAGCAGCGAGTCCCGAGGAGCGGGGCTTCCTTTTAGGACGTTTGTCTGGAGTCGACAGGGCCCGGCAGCTGGTTAGTCGGAGCCTATACGTTTGGCCACAAACCACACTCCTCCCTGTCCCTGCTCTCGGGAGGAAAGCCGGTTTAAAGAGGCAGTTTGGCCGCAACCAAACCCTCGTCGTAGGGCGGCTTCGCGTTGTCTTGTGTCCTGTTTGGTCGGCTCCTCTGTCAATCAGCTGACTGCCATTTGTCGGATTGGGGCGGGAGCTGTCCAGTGCTGAACCCGAAGCGGAACGAAGGAGGCGCAGCAGGCGGTGGCGCGGGATGCGGCAGCGCCGAGTCCTGTCACCCACTCACGTTCGCTGATGACTCGGAAACCTGAGGGCGTGGGGGTTGGAGTGGGCGGCAGTGAGGGGAGAAACAAGAGTTTCCGTGGCTCAGGGAGAAGGAAACTTGGCCGTACTGAGTAGGGTGTTGGCGTCTTGCATGCTTAGTTAAATCAGTCTCTTCTTTTGCCTGGAAAAGAGAGAGAAAGGAGTTTTCATTGCTGACTTAAACTGAAGAGGAGGGACGTAGGATGGAGACGTGTCCTCCTGAGCATCTGCTCATTTTAGGCAAATGATCAAATCCTCCTTGTTGTTGGTTAAAGAAATGATAAAACCTACTTGCCGAGGTCTTGACTATGAGGGAGTAACGGAGACATCTACCGGCTGAGTTTTAAGGGGGAATATACCATATTTAAGGAAGCTCCTTTAAAAGGGGACTAGGATGAAGGGGAATCTGTGATGTGAGTACGTGGAAGGGAGAGAACTGTACAAAGGAAAAGACTTAGACTGTGATAGAATGAGAATGAGTGAGTCTGGGTTGAGTGAGAAGGGAAGTCATTATGACTGAAAGTTCCTAGAATTAATGGATACAAGACCTAAGATAAGTTAACTATGGGTTGGAATATCCCATAAAGAAAGAAGAGGGACTAAATATGCCACGCCCCCCCCTCCAGATTACTGGGAAATCCCTCAACACAATCTAATCATTTCATCTGAAGCATTACGAGTGTCTTCTGACAATCCCAAAATGCTACTTAGTACTGGATATGTAATGTTCTATGTACCTCCACTTTCCATACCCACATCCATTTTCACATTCCCCAAGAAAGACACAAATAGAAAATCCCAAATTCACATCAATTTCCAATCAACAGAACTGTCAAAAAAAATCAGACACTGCTTAGATTTACTTACCATTTCATTTCATTCTCCCTATTGAGAAAAATACCTAAACACTGAAATGTAAGCTCCAAACAGCAAAGGTTTAACTGCATTGGTTGCTAAAGTATCTGGAGCACCTAGAGTACACAGAAGTGCCTGGAACATAGTAGGTTCTCACTAAATATTTGCCAAAGTAATGGATGAACCAGAAGATCATGATGATGAAGCTAATTATTTAAAAATCCATTTTCTTACCTAAGAGAAGTCTTTCTGACATATCAATAATGAAGGCTTTTAGAATAAGACATAGCAACCAGTTTTCCAAACTGCAGTGCATGATCTTTGCTAAATAAAGGTCATCCCAGTTTAATGCTCTGCTATAGCATTTGGTCAATAATAACAGAAGGAGTTTCTACTTAATTTATCAGACTATACATTTTCATCTACTTAACCATCTATAGACTGAAATGTAATTTCCTCATGAATTGATGTTTTTAGAGAAACTACGTAACTTACTAATAGTTCTTTAAAATTTTGTACTATTGCACTTAAAAAGAAAGATATAATTTTAAGAGTAAGTCTTACTGTAAGTAATTCAATGACTCAGGATAATTGAAAGACCTGAGTTCTAGTCCGAGCATTGTTTTGAGCAAGGTACACAACCACTGGCAAGACATTTAAATTCTCTGTCTTGGGACACAAACTCTATTTGGACCTCATGATTTGACATTGAGAGAGCACTGAAATGGCATCTGAGCCGCTCTCCAGGGCTGCTAGTTCTTCCACTAGATGGCATCTGATAAGAAAGGTGCAAATTATGGGAGGCTCTTGTGATTTTAACATTCCCTTTTGTGGATCACTTTCATTCTACATTGCCAAACAACTGGGGTGAACTACTTGCGTCCAGAAAAACACTGCTCAACAGAAATATAATTGGGGCCTCAAATATGATTCATACACATAATTTTAAATGTTCCAATAGCACATTTAAAAGTAAAAAAGAAAAAAATGAATATTTAGATCAATATACCCAAAATATTATTTCAATAAATAAATAACAATTATTAATGATATATTTTACATTTTTTATACCAAACCTTCAGAATCCAATGTGTATTTTAAACTCACAGAATGTGGCATTTCATACTAGCCACATTTCAAGTGTTCAGTAACCACCTGTGGCCAGAGACTACCATAGAGTACAAGCTCTAGAAGATAGTGCATTGTGGTCCAGAATGCTCTAGAAAGCTTCAGTCGGCTCCAGAAAAGTCACCATGGTCTAAAAGCTCTGGGAGGCCTGGTCTATTTAATAAGTTGGGAGTCAAGGTCAACTGAGTAAGTAGACAAACCAATGTCTATATCACTGTCCATCAGTGAAGGAGTTAATCCAAGAGAGCTTTTTTTTGGTATAATTAATCACAATTACATGAGAAACATTATGTTTACTCGACTCCTCCCATCACCAAGTGCTCCTTACAAGCCCCATTACAGTCACTGTCCATCAGCGTAGTAAGATGCTGTAGAATCACTACTTGTCTTCTCTGTGTTGCACAGCCCTCCCTCTGCCCCCCCAAACATTATACATGCTATTTTTAATGCCCCCTTTCTTTCTCCCCCACCTTATCCCTCCCTCCCCACCCATCCTCCCCAGTCCCTTTCCCTTTGGTAACTGTTAGTCCATTCTTGGGTTCTGTGATTCTGCTGCTGTTTTGTTCCTTCTGGTTTTATTTTGTTCTTATAGTCCACATGTGAGTGAAATCAACTGGAATTTGGCTTTCTGTGCCTGGCTTATTTCACTAAGCATAATACCCTCTAGCTCCATCCATGTTGTTGCAAATGTTAGGATTTGTTTTCTTCTTATGACTGAATAATATTCCATTGTGTATATGCACCACATTTTCTTTATCCATTCATCTACTGATGGACACTTAGGTTGCTTCCATTTCTTGGCTATTGTAAATAGTGCTGCAATAAACATAGGGGTGCATCTGTCTTTTTCAAACTTGAGTGCCGCATTCTTAGGGTAAATTCCTAGGAGTGGAATTCCTGGGTCAAATGGTAAGTCTATTTTGAGCATTTTGAGGAACCTCCATACTGCTTTCCACAATGGTTGAACTAATTTACATTCCCACCAGCAGTGTACGAGGGTTCCCCTTTCTCCACAACCTCTCCAATATTTGTCATTGTTTATCTTTTGGATGGTGGCGATCCTTACTAGTGTGAGGTGGTATCTCATTGTGGTTTTAATTTGAATTTCTCTGATGACTAGTGATGTGAAGCATCTTTTCATGTGTCTGTTGGCCCTCTGAACTTCTTCTTTGGAGAACTGTCTGTTCAGTTCCTCTGCTCATTTTCTAATTGGATTGTTCACTTTTTGTTTGTTGAGGTGCATGAGCTCTTTATATATTTTGGATGTCAACCCTTTATCAGATGTCATTTATGAATATATTCTCCCATACTGTAGCATGCCTTTTTGTTCTACTGATGGTGTCCTTTGCTGTACAGATTTTCAGCTTGATCACTTTTGCTTTTGTTTCCCTTGTCCAAGGACATATGTTCATGAAGAAGTCACTCATGTTTATGTCCAAGAGATTTTTGCCTATGTTCTTTTCTAAGTGTTTTATGGTTTCATGACTTACATTCAGGTCTTTGATCCATTTTGAATTTATTTTTGTGTATGGGGTTACACAATGATGCAGTTTATTTCTCTTACATGTAGCTGTCCAGTTTTGCCAACACCAGCTGTTAAAGAGACTGTCATTTCCCCATTGTATGTCCATGACTCCTTTATCGTATATTAACTGACCGTATATGTTTGGGTTAAGATCTGGACTCTCTATTCTGTTCCACTGTTCTGTGGGTCTGTTCTTGTGCCAGTACCAAATTGTCTTGATTACTGTGCTTTGTACTACAGCTTGAAGTTGGGAAGCGAGATTCCCCCCACTTTATTCTTCTGTATCAGGATTGCTTTGGCTATTCAGGGTCTTAGGTGGTTCCATATGAATTTTAAAACTATTTGTTACAGTTTGTTGAAGAATGTTGTTGGTATTTTGATAGGCATTGCATTGAATCTGTAGATTGCTTTAGGCAGGATGGCCATTTTGACAATACTAATTCTTCCTAGTCAAGAGCATGGTATGAGTTTCCATTTGTTAGTATACTCTTTAATGTCTCTTATGAGTGTCTTGTAGTTTTCAGCGTATAGGTCTTTCACTTCCATGGTTAGGTTTATTCCTATTTTACTCTTTTTGATGCAATTGTGAATAGAATTGTTTTCCTGATTTCTCTCTCTGCTAGTTTATTGTTAGTATATAGGAAAGCAACAGATTTCTGGGTATTAATTTTGTATCCTCCAACTTTACTGAATTCAAATATTAGTTGTAGTAGTTTTGGAATGGGGTCTTTAGAGATTTTTATGTACAATATCATGTTGTCTGCAAATAGTGACAGTATGACTTCCTCTTTACCAATCTAGATGCCTTGTATTTCTTTGTTTTGTCTGATTGCCATGACTAGGACCTCCAGTACTATATTGAATAACAGTGGGGAGAGTGGGCATCCCTGTCTTGTTCCCAATCTTAGAGGAAATGCTTTCAGCTTCTCACTGTTAAGGATGATGTTGGCTGTGGGTTTTCGTATATGGCGTTTATTATGTTGAGGTACTTGCTCTGTATACCCATTTTGTTGAGAGTTTTTATCATGAATGGATGTTGAATTTTGTCAAATGCTTTTTCAGCATCTATGGAAATCATCATGTGGTTTCTGTCCTTCTATTTTTTATGTGGTGATTGATGTTGATGGATTTTCAAATGTTGTAGCATCCTTGCATCCCTGAGATGAATCCCATTTGGTCATGGTGTATGATCTTCTTGATGTATTTTTGAATTTGGTTTGCTAATATTTTGTTGAGTATTTTTGCATCTATGTTCATCAGGGACATTGTCTGTAATTTTCTTTTTTGGTGGGGTCTTTGCCTGGTTTTGGTATTAGAGTAATGCTGGCTTTATAGAATGAGTTTGGAATTATACCCTTCTCTTCTACTTTTTGGAAAACTTATAGGAGAATGGGTATTATGTCTTCTCTATATGTCTGATAAAATTCAGCGGTGAATCCATCTGGAACAGGGGTTTTGTTCTTGGGTAGTTTTTTGATTACCGATTCAATTTCTTTGCTGATAATTGGTCTG